GACATTAGAATCAAGAACAAAGAATGTTACTTTTGAATGAAGTTTCTTCTAATTCATTATAATTAAATTTACAGCTAACGAAAGAAATTCTTCATTTGATAAAAATTACTTTTGAGTTAGAACTATGTGCATTATGTTGATTTTATTGAGCTATGGATAATCTGAGGAAGATTTAAACAATCAGCTAATTGATGTCGATATACAGTATTTTTTTAAGATGAATATCGTGGTTCTCCTAAGGAACACTAGAAAAACGGTTTCGAGAATTTCGACTTACAACTGTGCACAGAAACAGATCTTTAAAAAAAAGTAGTTTATTGTGGAAGTTTCAGATTTTTTCGTTGCGCCTATTCTAGGATACGACGATGATAAAGGCGCTCGTTTTATATAGTTCATAAATAATATGAGATTTGGTTTCACGATAAGAACAAATCAAAACAAATGAATATTTCATAATAAATTATTTTCATAAAGTCCTGTTTCTGTTCAACGTTTCAAGTCAAAATTGTAAAATCAATTTTTCAGATGTTTCTGATGAGGATTATGGCATGTATTTTAAAAAATATCGTATCTCCGTAGCAATCAGAACTTTTCTCAGATTATTCATAGCTCAACAAAGTTTGCATGATGTACATAGTTTCGAGACAAATAAAGAGTGGCAAATCTCAAATTGGTACTAATTCTGAAATTCATATGTCAATATTATTATAAATTTCAATTGTTCAAAATTGAAACAGAATCTTAGGAATTGAAATTAATATAAATGCAATTATCGGTTCTTTTGAATCCTATCATTCAAAAAATAGCTAAGAAAAATAGAAAATTATTGTTTGAAGGGTGAATGAGGGTCAGTCTGATCGTAAGAGTATCTCATTGAGAATGGAACGAATAGTCGCTTGACCGTAACCAAGAATTTACGATTATCATCGAAAAAAATGTTCTCTTTTTTTTGTGTCCTCATAATCTTTGTACCAATTCAAAAAAAAAAACTAAAAAATAGTTTAAATATCCGTTAAATTTCGTTTGGATATATTGTGAAATAATTTTTTCAAACTTCGAATTATAATTGATGGAAAATAAAATTATCGACATCAAATAACATAGTAGTGTAAACATCATTTCACATAATCAGAAAAGTATGGATGTGTGAGATGAAGGAAACTAATCTCATTTCCCGTCGAAGGATCTTGAAGATGCTACCCTTTATTTATTGAGAATATAATATGTTTTATGTTATTCTAAAAATAAAAAATCATTTTATTTTAAATTTTAAGATATGATTATTCAAGAAAATGTATATAGTAAATATATGTCTAAAAAGAGATTCAGCTTGAGACTGCTACAATGTATAATTGAAGAACTATTCAATCGAAGCTTTGATGAGCTTCTTTCTTTGAAGAAAGAATTTTACTTTTTGTTTTCATTTTATTGATATAAGAGATTGCATGCTTTATAAAATATATTATCAAATTGATATTCTTTTCAAAAAGATAAACTGAAAAATTTAATCAATTATTATATTTTATTTTTGTATAGATATTCAATCAAAGCGTAATGATGAACTTCTTGTACTTAAACGTCTTTTTCGATATAGTCTACCCGATTGGAAAATAATTACATGTGGAACAATATTTTTATTAGGCGCCGCTTTATGCACGTATACAAATTTAATATTCATTTATTCAATAAAAAATAAACAATACACTTTCTTATTTTTTAGCTGAAGTTTTCGTACCATTATATACAGGAAGACTTTTATCAAGTGTTGCATTTAAAGAAGCATGGTTACAATTTCAATATAATTTAATTATGTTTGTTGTAGTAAATTTTGCTGGGTATCAAAAAAAAAAGAATCTAATAAATAGAAACGATCAAGAATTTTTGTTTTTGATATTTTAGAGGTTTTCTTGGTGGATTTCGTATGGGAATTTTTTCTCTATGTATTTCACGTCTTAGTATACGTTTACGAACAACATTATTTCAATCATATTTACGACAAGAAATTGGTTTTTTTGATACACATGAAAGTGGAAAATTACTTTCACGTCTTAATCAAGATACACAAATAATGAGTTCAACAGTTGCTAATAATATAGCACAATGTATTACTGCACTTGTTAGATTTAGTAAGCTTGAAAAACAAAAGAAACTCATATTTTATAAATAAATGAAATAATGCTTTTTTGTTTGTTTGTTTATTCGCTAGTTGGTACACTAATTATGATGATTAAATTAAGTATTCATTTAACAATAGCTTGTCTTGTTGGTGCTCCTCTTATTTTAATTGTTGCTAAAATATGTGGTAATGCACATAGACGTATATCAGAAAAAGTTCAAGATTTATCAGCTGAAGCATTTGAAATAGCTGAAGAAACAATTCAAACAATACGAACAGTTCGAAGTTTTGGAAATGAAGATGAAGAATTAAAAAGATTTGAAACAACTCTTCAACAATCATATCAAGTTTTATGGCTACAAGCAATTTTAACTGCAGCACAAAAATGGTTTGTTGAAGTAAGTCATAGTGCTATGATTTATAAAATTATCTCATCGAATGTATTTTGAATCGAAAAAAATTATATGATTTTTTTATATGGTACTTCGTTTTTTCCTAAAATTTCCGTCATCTTCAGCTTGAAAAATATGCTTCTCGTCAAAAAAAGTGAGGAACTTTTTTCGTTTCTGTTTTGTTTGTATGTTTTTGATCGTTGCAGTGCTCAGCTTTTTAAATTCAGCTTTGTTTTTATTATATAAAGAAACATTTCTATAAATAGACAAACATTATTCAAGTTATTGAATTTGACATCTTTTTTCTGTGCATAAAAAATCAGAAAAAAAAGAGCATCACAGCCTGCATGTTCTTTTAAATGAACAAAATTCAATGGATAGAATGATCGCTGATAGATAATAAATGAGCTATTTTTGACCTTTGTTTGATCAATAATCTTCCTTGAACGTCATGATATAGAACTAAAAATTTTAGCATAGTCTCTTCAATAAAGCTGCCACATATCCTGAATATTTTTTACGACTTGAGTACACTTGGTTCAAGATCAACTTTTGAGGAAAGAAGGTTTTAAATAGCAGATATGATATGTAACAAACATATGAAGATATAGACCGTCATTATGGAATTTCCGAAAATAAAATTGTAGAAAATTTAAATCTCAACTATTCAACGATTTGTATCAAAGATAAAAAAATGCAAAATAATAGAACATTTAGTTCTCTATAACATAAGATACTAAGAATTCGGCAAGGTGTTTTTTCTCTAATTAAGTCAAAGTTATGCAAGACGCAAAATGCATTTGTTCGAGTTTGATTTTCAAGTCTATGTTACTCGACAACGAAATATCGTGGTGGTTAGATTGCGAATGTTTCATTTTATAGAATTGTATTATTCAACATAGATTCAACAAAATATAACTTCTGACTTGAAGATCTAAAACAGACAGGATAAATCCACAAAATACTCATGATGGAAGTCTCTCAATTGATTAGTCGCTTCTAGACTGAGATTATGTGCGTCATGTAGACCCAAATGAGTTTTGAATATCCTGAAAAGAGTTTGGATTCTTAAATTATTGTTGTGCAGATACTTCAAATGTGCAGCAGTTTTTAAATGAACACCCTAGTCTCGCTCAGGAACACCAGAAAAAACTGATTTTCGAATTTCAATTTGAAACGTTATACAGAGATATCTTCATTTGTTATAGAAGAGCGATATACAAGACAGTTATTTCCCATAGCTGTGTCCTAAGATAGGAAAGACGACAAGATCTGAAACATTCACAAAAAACTATTCTCGTTAAGACCTGCTTCAATGCAAAATTTTACGTTGAAATTTTAAAATCAATTTTCTAGGTATTTCTGAGGGAGATCACGACATTGATTGAAAAAATACTGCAAAACTGAAATATCGCGGTAGCAATAAGATAAGAATCCGAGCTCTTCTCACGGTATTTATAGCTCATGATGATCGACATTGATGTACATAGTCTCGGTCTAAAAGCGATTAATCAGTTGAGAGATTTCTCTCATCAGTTGCATGATACTGTGAATTATAATAACGCTTTTTATTTTTTTTTTGTTTTCATTAGTTAGCACAACTTTGCATGAGTATTATCATGCTTTCATATGGTGCAAAACTTGTACGGGATAATCATATAACTGGACCTGATTTATTAGCATTCATTATTTATCAATTAACACTCGGTGGAATTTTAAGTGTAAATATATATATATGATTTGAAAATAAAAAAGTTTATCATTATGAAATATTTCTTAGGATATTTCACAAATTTATACATCACTTATGACAGCTGCTGGAGCAAGTCAATCAGTTTTTGATTATTTAGATCGTAAACCAATGCAAAAACCAAGTGGTATTACACAGCCACAAGAATTACAAGGTGATATTGAATTTGATAATGTTTCACTCCTCTATCCAGCAAGGCCAAATGAAATTGCTATTGAAGTATGATTGATTAATTTTCATTAAAAAGAAAAATTCTTTTTTTTTAAATTTTTTAAGAACTTGTCATTTAAAATAAAATCAGGTCAAACATGTGCTTTTGTTGGACCATCTGGTTCTGGTAATAAAAATATTTTCATTTTCAATTATGTATATATATATATATGTATCTATTTCATTTTTTATTATTATTAGGAAAATCAACATGTATTAATTTACTTGAACGTTTTTATGATCCTACTCATGGAAAAATTTTAATTGATGGTCGAGAAATTCATGAATATGATCATAAATATCTTCATAGAAAAGTGGCTATGGTTGGACAAGAACCAATTTTATTTAATAGGACTATTGAAGAAAATATAACTTATGCTATAAATAATAATGATGAAACAACAATGATTCAAGCAGCTGAACAAGTTAATGCACATGGATTTATTAGTGAACTTATTAATGGTTATAATACTAAATGTGGACAACGTGGTGGTCATTTATCAGGTTTGAATTATTTTAGATTATTGTTTTTTTCGATTTCTTTTCTGTTGATTATAGGTGGTCAAAAACAACGTGTATCAATTGCTCGAGCTATTATTCGAAAACCAACTATACTTCTTTTAGATGAAGCAACATCAGCATTAGATCCTGTCAATGAACGATTAGTAGCTATTTTTTTTAAAATAATTTTAAAACATTTTGTTTTGGTTTTTCATAGATTCAAGATGCTTTATATTATAAGAAAGAGAATTCAGAATCTCGAACTGTACTTATATCAGCTCATCGATTAAGTACAATAGAACGATGTGATAAAATATTTGTTATACATAAAGGTCATTTAATTGAACAAGGTACACATGATGAATTAATGATAATTGAAAATGGAATTTATCGAGAACTTATTCGACGACAAAGAATGAATATTGATGATGATTAGACGGGTTTTATTTTGTTCATTCAAGCATTTGTTTTGTTTTTTTTTTTTGTTGTACACTAAATATATTTAAAATATTCACCAAGATTATCTCATTTAAACAAGATTGTTGTGTTGTTTTTTGCAATAGAAATAAACAGATCAAAATTTTTTGGAAAAATAGTTTTTCAATACTCTTTTTTCTACTGCGTTCTTTCGACTTCAATAGGTTTATAGATACTAAATAGTGTTCTAATAAAAACTCTAAAAAGATTTGGGTTCCTATTGAAATTTGAATATCTTTTAGGATTTTTATTAGAACACTGTCTGGTTTCTATAGAAAAAAAAATATCATTGACATCAGAAGAGGCAAATAAAGAGATTTTCTCTTTAGTTCAATACCATATTTTGTAGAGAAGTATTCGCTCTACAAAATGACTGACTCTGACAATTTTAAGCATGTTCGAAAACAGACTTATAAGGTAAACAAAACCCTCTTGACTCACCATTAAAAAATAATTTTTCAGATTTTTCAAAAAAGTTCCTCGAGTAAAAATTTTTAGGAAGTCTATTACAAGAGTAATGCCAATTTTTTGTCCATTTTTGCCTCTTCAGTGCAAAATGACCCTCTGTTACAAGTCTGTTGTTTTCTTAGCCGATTAATCCAAATTTACTATTTTTGCATCATTTTCTAGAATACAGATTACTTTGGAGTACTATATATTTACACATCTTATTTAATGTCTACGGGAAGTAGATTTCCTTCTTTAGAAAAATAAGATATTTGTCTCTGCAGAAAATGTTTTCTAGTTCTGTCAAGATTCCCTCATAACTTAATAGTCAGAGATCACAGAAAAATTCTAAGCATATATTCTGAAAGAGTGCAAAACTCTCATTTCAATGCATTTATATACGTAAAAAAAGAACTAGAATATATATGGTCTAGAAACTTTTGATCCATCTCTTATTATCAATATAAAACGTGTGAACTTTCATTTATATTAAAGCATTACATTTCGATAGCTTCTTATAAAAAGAAACACTGTTATTGCAAACCCTATGGGATGAAAACATGAAACACGATATAACTGTTGTTGCTAATCTCATGGAAATTGTTTCATTCTAACTATATCGGGACACATTTCTTCAGCATCCTTTTACTTAATCCTCGACAAGTGCAATACGTAAGTGTTTTATATATTACTATGAGACCTTATTGATATACAACGTTTGTCATAGTATGTCACATAAGGGAGAAAGATTGCTAAGGTGTCTGTCATGATCTGTGGGAGGATTCTATACTTCAGTACTCCTGTTAAATTGTATTTCACAAAAGTGTCTCGTTAAGAAACTCTAACCATTCTTCGAATACAATTAATAATAATTTTTAATCGAAATCTGCATCATATGAAATGATTTTGTTTTGTTTTATAAACTTGAATATTTGATAATGAATCGCACAAAGCTACTATATAACATATGTTGTTAAACTTTCGATTGTATTTTCATATAAATTTCATTGGCATATTAATGGGATATAAGATATAAAAGCTAATCTTGGGAATTTGAACAAAATGAGATGATTATGATAGCAAAGAACACTGAATCTCATTTTATGAATTATATGAGAAATACATCATTAAATGAATATCTATACTAATTCTATCTTACTTGACTATGATACAATGTTACTCAACTTCATTATTTTTTAAGTCATTTTATTTATTAAAAGCTTTATTATTAAATTAAAATAGTCAAATGTCCACATGGTTTAACAATCTTCAAAGATTACAACAAAATCGTTGAAACGTTTAGATATTATTGTTATGTCGACTGTGAACCATCATACTCGAGTAAATGTTGTTGTTGTTGTTGAAATTAATAAAAATGATCGACAATGGATTGAATCATTGCTTAAAAGATTTGTAATTGACTGATAAATTTTTTTTTTGTTCATTCTCAAATAAATAAATTGCAACTAGAAAACGTAATTTCTATTGTAAAACCTCATTATCATATCTAAGTTAGATATTCGTAATGTAAAATACATATTTGTTTAGGATCCAAAAATTGATCCATTATCGTTATTAAAATCACCAACAGCTAAATTATTTAGAATTATCACCAGTGGAAAAAGTTAATTGACTTTGTGAAAGTTCCATTTCCATATCCAAAAATATGTTTATATTGTTAGTATTATAACTGCTAATGAAGATTTTCATGAGGACTTATTGAATATTGATTTAAATAATGTGTCCATACAAACACATAGACAGTCTGAATTTCAAATATTACCAAGGAATGATCAATTGATATTCTTTCAATAATCAGGATATAGAAACGCGATGACCTAAATAAGAATAGATTTAAATTTTACAGCATATGTTTTCTCTCAATTTTATTCAGTCGAATAATCTTTTATTAATGTCTCTTTGTAATAAAAGTTATGTATTTTAGAGTAGAATATTAATTGGATTTATTTCGAAAAGTGTGTTAAACTGCTCTTATGGAAAGTTACTCGTGCAAAGTATTTATCGTTTTCTATCTATTTTTTTTTCTTTATTAATTTTGAGGAATTTTTTGTTAAATAAACTTTTAATTTACAATCGTGTAATATAAAAAATTTATCAGATACTGCATCATATTATAAGAAAAATACGACAAAATTTGATGATTGGATTCAAAATTTTTCACAGCGATTGAACACTGATTTTGTTCTCAAAAATATATTTTGATATAATTTTTACTTGTTGAAAATTTGATAAAAGAAAATATAATTAAACTAATATTTATTATAGAATTAACTTAATTTTTTGAATATGTACTAAAAATATTTGCGTAATCTATTAGTAATCAAAAATCTAGAAATTTAATATTAAAATAACAGCTAAAATATAAATCGAAACAACTAAAGAATGTCTTAAATTTACTTTATAAATGTTTAAAATTAGATGCAAACCAATTGATTGATTAAATGACATATTTTAATCGATTTTCAATGACGGAGAACAATAAAAAGAGCACCACATGTTTTCATATGACTCCTAGTCAGATTTTAAATCAGTGAAACGCAAAAGAATCATAATTATTTCCGTTTTCTTTTCTTCAAAACGGCTGCACTTCTTAACCTTTGAGCATATGTGGGAAATGATTCACTAAATACAAGCTGTGACATCAGCATATATCTGTAAGTAACTAAATCGGAATTTTTGTAGTTCCGGTTCGCACAGTAACAACGGAAGTACATCATTATTCTGTCATGTACACAGAGATTACATAGCAAGTAAGATAATAACAATGTTCTAAGATAAATATAATATGATTGACTTTTCATGAGAAAACTTAATAATGAAATTGTTATTACATATGTCAAGCTATTTACGTAATATAATGAATTGATACGGACGTTTTCTTGCCTAAATAATATACAGTTATATCTAACGGCTTATAATTTTTTTCTATGACTTCTCAGAAAGATATGAACCAAATAAATTAATAAAAGCTATTATATAATTAAATTCATTAGAAATCTTCTTTGTCATATTTAGGATAACTGTAATTCTATGTATTAACGTCGAATGATTTTTTTTAAAATTCTTATTTACTTTGCCAATTTCAACATAAAAAGAAACGTTATTGAAACATGAAAATTTTATATACTTACACTATTTGTGTCAAATCATACTGTCTACCTGTATGCATATATATTTATTCTGAATGATTGATCATGAGTCTCTCATCATTTTTAGTTTTTTATGCATGACTGATTTTTCGTCAAATAAGAATACGAATGCGAGCAAAAGATATTCGCTACAATCACTAATAAAGAATACAAAAAATATGATGAAATTATTGCTGTCAGAAAAATAATAATTACAGATTGAAATGACTTATCATTGATTTGTTTTTATTTTTTTTTTGTGTGCGCAAAAATGTTTAGTTTAGTAAATATTTTCTTTTTTCTATCAATAGATACACATCTAAATTGAAAAAGTATATTTAATGTTAAAAATATGAATCAATAAATGGATGAAAAATAAAGTCGAGAAAGAAGTTTTTGTGAAAAAAAATACCGAATAATAAAAGTATTAACATGTTTCAATAATAAAAAAAAATTAAAATTCAGTATGCATAGACAATATTTTTCTGTGCTGAATAAATCAATATAAATATGCAAAAATATCCAATATTTTATTATCATCTGTTTATTAATAACTAACCATATGTTAGATATCTAATAAATAACTAAAAGAATAAAATTTAATCTCGCATTCAATATTAACTAAACATTCAGAATACAAGACTATGGCCTTTTATTATAGATATTCATATCATTCCTTCAAAGGAGGCATTCTATTCTGGGCTAGGTTTTTTTTTGCTTTAATTTACCTAGAAAACCAAAGACTTTTGAAAAACTGTTCAAACAGGCGTTTTTAGCAAGTAAACATCGAAAAACTAGAATTATTAGTACGGAAAACACTTTTTTATTAGAAAAAATAGAAATTTTACTCAAAAACTGAGTTTTCAAGTGCTAAAATGTGTTGGATTTTTAGAAAAGATTTTTGGAAACTTCATCACTTTTTATTATGCTTTGTGAATTTTTTTTATGAATGATCTCATAACCAGATTAACTTTTTATTCTAGGAAAGGGAAGTGAAGTTTACAAGGAAAGCAAATAATTATTTAATTTTAATCAATATTATACTAAAAATCTAATAAATAATTCGGTATCTATGATAAAAAACAAAATTTGTCTTTTTTTCTAATAGAAGACATATGTTATTAATAAATCTTAGTATTTGTTATTTACGCTTTAGATCATACTCAATTTTGACAAGCAGATAATCAATGAATTGAGCGCTGCCTTCTTTACAGATGTATTTCTAAATGAATAGATAAGTTATTGAAAAAGGAAATTAATCTTTTTTCTACATGTTTCTCTGAAGTGTAAGAATCTCGTCTGATAGTTCTAAAAATAACCACACATTAGTGTTGTTGGTTTTATTTGCATAGTCTAAACAGAA